CTTTGAGAGATTAGCCCTCTTGAAGCAACAAGTTTATCTATCTCTGTTGGGACTTTCTTCTGTTTGTCCATGATGATGTACTCATGTTATGATCACTGATCCTGAGGCAACCACCAACTTTCAGTCCAGTGATAAACTCACCTTTAGCTGTCATAATGAGTTCCAAACCAGAGTTATCTCATGGGTCCAATTTGTGTTAGCTTTTGTATTAGATAATTATTATCTATAATTTTTGGAAATTGGAATTATGTTTTATTACTGGCTGCAAGAGATCTTCAGCATATGTCTCCTAAATTAAATGGCCCCATAACAACACCACTTCTGTCAACACATAACAGGTAGATATGTTCTATGGTCCAATTTAGTGACCTGTAACAGACCCCCGCCACCAGTACCCTGTCCTGGGCTTTGTTAGGTAGCACATTGATCCATCTGCATTTGAGATCCTCTGTGGTTCTGAGTTATCAATAACTCTAAAACAGGTAACAGGGTCTTTAATGTAGACTGCCACCTCCCCTCCACCTCTTTTATCCAATCTAGCCTTCCTAAGCAGGTTATAGCCTTGTCCCACAAGCGTTCAGTAATGCCAGTTATATCCATTTTTTTATCCATGAATGAGCATTTCTAATTCCTCTTATTTGGTACCCAGACTCCTAGCATTAATGTATAAGCAACTTAAAAATTTCTTCTCTTCATTTTATTTGTCACATCAGTTCAATTTGTGCATGATGTTTGAGTTTTGTACCACATTTGCCTCCTTAGCATTCTTCTTTTGCGTTGATGGTTAAATGCCCTCCTCGCTGTTTCAGCTAGTCTTCAGCCTAGAAGACTAGCCCCCTACTTGTGAGATGCAGGCTATCCTGTTTGTACAGCCCCTTGGCCAACTGGAATGTGGCCCAATGATCCACAAATCCAAAACCTATTTTTTGCCTTCTCTTGCTCATTAGGTTGGTAGGATCGCTAAGGAGATCACTTGGACTCCCTTCCAAGATGACTGAGATTTTCTATCATTTGTGTGGTTCCATGTGATGCTTTGTCTTTGGTTCCAGTGGGTATCATTGTCAGTGGAGACTTGCCAGACAACTTCATAATAATCCTGTCTAATCCTACAATGACATCTCATACTTTCACTCCTGGGAGACAGCACACCAGCCTATTCTCCTCATGTCCCTTGCTGAATTTTCTATCCACTCCTCTTACTATGGACTTGCTGATGATGATTGTTTGTATTCTCAGGATGATTGAAGAACCTCTCTTGGTAGCTGCTTACTTCATATCATATCAGGTGTGTCCCCTGCAGTTTTCTGTTCCATTCCTTCAGAGACTGGTTCTTCCATGGTTGGCTTGCTGAGTGTTTGAAAACTTTTTGATACTACTAGTCAGGTTGAATGACTACAAGTTTTCTTTCCCCTCTTGGTCACAAATCTCCTGTTCACTTCTTTGCTTTCTACTCTCTTCAATTCCCTTACCACTGATCTTTTCCCTTGTGGTGTTTGTCACAAAGATTTCTGAATCGGCTGATTCAAGAAGCTTTTGTTTTCTCAAATGCTGCATAATGTTGCAACTTATGCTTCCAGACTATATATCTTCTCCTCTAGTAAGGCCACCAGCTTGCATTTCATTCATCAGAATTCTATTTTATCATCTGACAGAAAGGAAAGCAGCACATCTAAGGCAGGTCACAGCAACGGTTCCCTCATCATCCATATCTGCTACCTGTTGGAGAGTCATACCTCAAATAGAGCTCACACTCCTTCTCTGCATTCACACTAGAACTCATCTGGTTGTCTGCCTCTGTTAACCTGGCAACCATCATACTGCCTCACTGCTCAGCTCGCTCAAATAGCCACCCGGAGCCTGGTTCTGGACAATGCCCCTAGGCCTCCCGCCACACACCCTTGGTGTTGAGGCTGCAGCGTTGCTAAGGCTGCTAAGTGCTGTTGTTGCAGGCACTGCAATGTCAGCTGCGTGAGCAGGGAATGCAGGCCACCGATTCAGCGGACCTCGGTGTTACTCATAAAGAAAGGCCACGGGTTCAATTCGGTGGCGAAGGCGCTTGGCCGGGTTTATTATTTGCAAAACACGGTCCTAGTGCCCTGGCTCCGTGGTTACAGGTACACTAACACGTGTATGCTCACGACAATGGTACCACCTCAAACAGGACCCCACAATCCTGTCCCCTAGACAGGCACCAAGATGCCCCTCCTATGGCTTCTCCTTTTATACGTTGATACAGACACGTTACGTATTACACTCCGGACCACCCTTCTCCGTGGACCTACTGACTTTACCAGAACATCCTTATCCATTGTCCTGTCATCGCCTCCTTATTTTTATGACGGGTCAGTGTGTTCCTGTGCCGTCTCTTAGGGATGTGTTTACACAGTTATTTGAGAGATTTGTGTGTTTTTATACCATCATCTCTGGTCAGGAATGTAGTTATCTGGTTAGCTGACACCTAGTGTGTTACTATTCTGCCAAGGCCGCAGGCTTTGGTTTACACTGCTAGTGATATCTTGAGCTCCTGCAAGGCCTACAGTCCCCGACCCCCAGCCACTGTGGGGGCCACAGCCCAGCCACACAACCCTCATGCAGAAACACAACAAGCACTGAATCCTTCTTCCTGCAAGCACAGTGTTGGGGACACTGGGGCATGGCCGCTAGGTAACTCGAGGGGATGGAAGACCACGAGTGTCGATGAAGCCCCCTCGCACTAGGCCCAAGTGTCCTTGGCCCCCCCGCCTGGAGGCACACACAGCAGTTATGCTGAGAATCTGCAACAATATGTTGCAGAGTCAGACTGCCTGAAACTAAGCAAGGCCACACAGGGCAGATATGGAAGAACAATGCTGAATAAAGCAGCTTTATGTACAGTTTAATAAATGATACAGAGAACCAGGGAACTAGCTGGGAACTGGATTGGTTGGCTATATGGATACTTGGGGCAGCTTGCTATTGGATAAGTATGCTGGGAAAAAGGATGTATAAAAGCCTGTGTAACTTCCTGCTCTGTGTACAGGATTTGAGATTCAAATCTCCCTGTACCTATTTGAAGCTTCAAATAAACTTTTCTGCTTCTCCACCCCGTTGTGATTATTGGGTGTAGCACACCGGGCAACGAACCAACTTCAGCTGTTGTTTAGCCTCTTGGCACCGGGTGCCGGCAACAACAGGATTCACAGCTCAGAAGCTCCCTGTCTGCTGCTCTTGTTACCTGCTAAAGTGTTTGGAGAGGAAGGGAAGGAGGCTGGTGACATAGGCCACAATTTTTCACAAAGAAAATGTCTCAGCTCAGGGAGTTCCATGTCTCACCTCCATTAAAACAGTCTAACGCTTGCAGGCACATGTCACTTGGGGTGACCCAACATGTAGTTTGTGACATACAGCCAGTCAAACCCCATTTTCTTATTCAAGCTCCACAAACAGAATGGAAGTGGGCTGGGGCATGACATCCCACAACACACTGCTCAAGAGCAAAGCATCAGGTTAGGGAGCGGCATATCCCGACTTCTTCAGAACTGTCGCACAGTTGCAGGGATGTGTCGCTTGGGCTGACCCACAATGCCATTTTTTTGCATACAATCTGTAAAAACCCAGCTACTTATTCAAGCCATTTACACAATGAAAGTGGGTGGAGGTGTGATGTCTCATGGCATATTGCACAGAAGCAAAGTTTGGGGTAGGTGTGTGGCGTGTCCCTGCTCCCTCAGCACAGTCAAACAGCCACAGAAACGTGTCATGTGGGGCCAGCAGAGACAAAGATAGTCAAAACCCAGCTCTTATTCAAGCATCATTTACACAATGGAAGTGGGGTGGAGGGGTGACATATGCCAGCAAGTTGCTTAAGAAGGAAGCTTCAGGTCAGCAAGTAGCATGTTCCAGCTACTTCAGCACAGTCGAAAGGTCAGACATGTGACCTGATCATAGAATAGAATCATAGAATATCAGGGTTGGAAGGGCCCTCAGGAAGTCATCTAGTCCAACCCCCTGCTCAACGCAGGACCGATCCCCAATTTTTACCCCAGACCCCTAAATGGCCCCCTCAAGGATTGAACTCATAACCCTGGGTTTAGCAGGCCAAGGCTCAAACCACTGAGCTATCCCTCCCGATGCTTATTTTGTCATGTACAGCCAGTCAAAACCCAGTTCCTTCTTCAAAATCCCTGTACAAAATGGAAGTGGGGGGTGTGACATCACACAGGATATTTCTCAAGACCACAATGTCAGGTCAGGGAGTGGCATGTCCCAGCTGGGACTTGTTATGTGGTGTGACCAAAGATGCATTTTCTCTAAACCCAGTTCCACTCAAGCACCATTGACCATATGGATGTGGTGCGGGGGGAGATGGGGCAGCTTTGGGGTGGGGAGTGGCTTGTGCCCCAAAGCTGATGGTCATGGGGCTGGGTCAGACATTTTGTCAGGCACAGCCAGTCAAAACCCAACTCCTTCTTTGATTATTTAATTAATAATTAAATAATTGCTCATTTACATTTTTATCACATTCAGTCACATTAATTTGATGAAATTTCTAAAAAAAATAATCTTACATGGATATATTTTAAATAATTTTGCCCTCTGAGTAAGGCACTGGCAGTAAGGAAGCAATTTCAGCCTCATGGGCACCGGTCCCTGCAATCCCCCGTACTTACTTTGAGGGCTCAGCGGGGATGTCTTGTCCGCTCTGTGGGAGGGCTGGGGGTTTCATTATCAGCTGTTTCTCTGAGAGGCAGTTGTTGATTTGTACCATGCCCGCTGCAGTTCTCCTCCTCAGTTTTCTGTCACGGTATCCCATGTCCCAGGAAGCTAAGGCATGCCTCTGCTGCACAGGGACTCGGCAGGGCAATTTCTTTTCAGCATTCTCTACTTTGGCTCGTGCCTCTGGATTTGAGCACGTACCTGCCGAGTCCCTGCACAATACCTGTCCTCACCCACCTCCCTTCACGACTTACTGCACTCATCGCGTTGCACAAGGGAAAGGAAAGTCAGCCTCGGTTCCAAAAAGCATTTTATTGGGCGATGCGTTACACAGAGAGTGGTTATATAGCAGGCATAGCAACTCAAGGCCCATTACAGGAGCGAAGGAGAAGTTGGTTTGCCCCTCACTTGAGGAATGGTGGGATATGTGTGGAATGAGACTATTTGAACTAGATCTGCTCTAGAACAAACAGGAATTAATTCAGGGAAGTTCTGTGGCCTGTGTTATACAGAAAGTTAGAGTAGATGATCACTATAGGCCCCTCTAGCCTTATAATTAATTAAGTGAAAGAAAGCTTATTTACAGACAAAGGCTCAAAAAAGAGTCACTGCCATCTGTATTGTGCCCAGCTTCCCACATAAATCGGCATGGCTGTAATAAACACACTTCCTGCCTCCCTGCGGATGCAATCCTGATTCTGCTGCTTAGACCCAGACTCAAACAATTTTGAGGACAGAAGAGTTCTAACAGAGAATGATTTTCTTCTCCAGCTTTGCTTATTCTAGTCCTAGCATGACACAGGGGCATGTACATTAACTGAGAGAGGACTTCATGTTCTGAGCAGACCTGAAAATCAGAGGAGTCCCTTGTTGTGTAATGCTGAAGATCACACTGTGGCTTTGTGACTGTCACTAGCAATTACTATTCACATCCCAAACTCTCAGCCTTCACTCAGCAGAAGATTCTTTGCACTGATGCCTGAGTTAATTAAATTAATTGAGGATTAAATTAAAATGCTAGAGGAACCACACAAATGAACACACTGGCTTTCCAAATTTATACAGCCTATGTGACTGGATAGCTAGGCACCAAATCACCCAAACATAGGGCTACTTTGCACAGTTCTAGCCACTTCAGCTGGGCAAAGCAATTCTAATGCTAGTGGACCCTGTCCCAGAGAGCTAAACAATTATCACTGCATCAATTGCTGGTGGATTCCCCCTGCCTAAGGGAATCCTAAGGTGGCACAGAGCTTGTGTAATTTCTCCTGCACCTCAGCTGCCAGATGGGGATGGAGCCAGGGGAAAAGGAAGCATAGTTAAGGCATCCCTGCACCCATTTGGTTTTCATCTTCCAGCTGCTCTACTTAGCGCCAGGACTGGTCCCATCACCCAGGTTTAGGATGCAAAGACTCATGCCAAGTGCTTCTTCCCCAGCCCAGAGAACTGAGGCTGTCGCACCAATTTCCTTTCATATGTGGTGCTAACACTAATAGCACGTCCTTATTCTTTTGTGACTACCATGGAATAGCTTGGGGGGAGATAGCGCAGTGGTTTGAGCATTGGCCTGCTAAACCCAGGGCTGTGAGTTCTATCTTCAAGGGGGCCATTTAGGGATCTGGGCCAAAAATTGGAGATTGGTCTGGCTTTGAGCAGGGGATTGGACTAGATGACCTCCTGAGGTCCCTTCCAACCCTGAGATTCTATGACTTTTCCAAAGTCTGCAAAAAGATTAGGAATTAATGAGTTAATGTCTCATTTCTTCAATAGAGACACTTTGCTGACTCACCATTCCAGGAAAATCAGAAAGAGAAGCTTTTTTAGCCTAGAAACCAAAGAACAATAATTAAGTGGCATCACATGGCTGACAATCATTACTGTCTCGTTCAAATGCACCCCTGGAAAATCTGCAAACTTTGTTTCTCTTAAAGGAAAAATTCTAGGATTTGTTATACTAACTCAGAGAGCACAACAGAGTTTTAGTAAATAAGAGGTACGTTGAGAGTTCATTGCAGAGAAATTCTAGTGCATCCGTTGGACCTACTTTGTCCTACAACACCATCTCCCAACAGAGACCCATATGATTATGGAAAATCAGACAGAAAGAAATGGCTCTTAAGAAAAAGCTGATTTAGGCCAAATTTGTGTGAATTTCGTAAGATTCCTGGCTGATTGTCAAATATTCTGTTGTCGTTTTGAAAACTCATTCTAGTGCCGTTCTCTGCTCTGTAATGTCATGTTTAGAACATTTCATATATTGCACTGGAATGTCTTTTAACAATGCTCACTTTAATTTGGTTGCATCTCACTGAAGAGGCCTCATGCAAAACAAAATCAAGCCAAACACTAGCACTTATGCCGTGTATTCCAGGCAGTAAAATCATTGGACTGAATGTGGTAAAGAATCCTTGTGGGCAGCATCCTGACTCCAGCCCTCCAGGGGAACTTCAGCTTCCATCACTAGTAGTCACCAGATGCTTCTTCTGTGGGGTGAAATGGGCAAGGTGTTAATAAAGCAGTGAAGGCCCCTGGGAGGCTGGGATTTTGTTTTATCTCTATGGGTTAAGCAGGAACAGGAGGACAAAGGGGAGAGAGGCAATATATCCACCAATCGATGCCCTCAGGCTCTGTGGGAGATGTTCACCTTGCCCAGCTGGAGTCCTTCTCTAATTACCCTAGTCCAGTACAGCAAAGCAGGATTCCCATCTGACTAGGCACAGGAGCCAACAGATGGCCAAAGAACATTTTAGAAGTACGACTTTTAAGTCTAAGACATCTACCAATGAGAACTCATGACACTTTGTGTACAGTGTCCCTCACGCCCCTGGCATTTTTACCACTTGAACCAGAGCGTGCAAATCTACTGGACAGGAAGGGTGGCAGTTGGTTGTATATCACAATGGGTCCTCTTGAACAGGTGACCTCATTTAGTCTAAAATTGTAATAATTAGATAAACAGTCATTAATAAGTTAATTTCTAATTTTTTCAAATGTAGCTTGGGCAAGAAATTTCAATGTTTTATCTGTTGGATATTAGTTGGTTACTTAGCTGCTGAAGAAGGGGAGCTACGTATCTCAGTTGCAGGGCAGGCTCCAGGCACCAGCTAAGGAAGCACGTGCCTGGGGCGGCCCCTGTGGAGTGGCGGCATTTTGGCCAATATTGGGGCGGCTCTTTGGCAGCTCTCTGTTTGCCTTATTTTTTTGGCTTGGGGAGGCAAAAAAGCTCGAGCCGGCCCTGCTCAGTTGAGAACCTGAAGGATCAGAAAGGGCTGAGGAGCAGCTGAGTTCTGCAAAAGGAAAAGGCAGGGAAGCACCTACCAGCCCTGCTCTAGCCTGCTGCGGGAAGCCCGGGGCTGCAAGCCTGAGCTTGCACTGCAGTAGAGAGATCTCCTCGTGCCAGACCTCACCTCTCATGTTTCCTCAGATACCATCAGTTGACACTCCCAGGATGCAGCCACCAGGTATTCCCTGGTTACCAGGATGGCTGTTGTGTGAGAAGGGGATCTGCTAGCCTCTGCAGGGGAGTGACCCACTGCAGCTGACCTCTTCCAGCTCCCTGAACCAGGACTCCTCTTGGCAAGCCATAGTGAAACATTCTCCTTCTGCAGCACTGAACTGCTCCTCACGTCCATCCCACAGCCCCCTGTGCTCCCTGCATTGCCCACTGGCAGAGGTGGTGCTAGCCCACTGGGGGCCCTAAGCAGGAATAACTCTCAACTCAGCCTTATCTTGGGAGCCACTCCTGATCCCTCAGCAATTATTTGCTAAGCACTGACAATGTGCTCAGAACAAGACAACAAGGACAGATGGCTGGAGGGATTGCTGCTCTGACCCACTATGGTAATTTCGATGTGACAGGAAGACCCTGTCCTGAAGAGGTAACAAGCTAAACATTTATATAAAGTCATCCCTGGCAGCCCAGGTTAGCTTTACCTTTGACCAGCCATGCTGAGGGACTGCATGCCCATGAGCTTACTCATAACGGGCCCAATTTTCAAGCCTGGGTGCCTAAATGGAGGCGTCTAAATCTGCATTAGGCATCTATATACCAGTTTCTGGACCTAAGAACCAGCTTTACAAAGCTATTTAGGCACCTCAATATGTAGATAGGCACCCAGTGGGATTTTCAAAAGCACTTCAGGGAATTACATGCCGAACTCGCACTGATTTTCAAGGGAGCTAAAGTATCTTAATCAGTTTAGGTGCTTTTGAAAATCTCACTAGGCCCCTATTTGTATCTTTAAACAACTAAAACCTTTGAAAATATGCCCCGTAAGTATATATCTAGGCCCATAAATGCAGATGCAAACATGCACCTTTGCGTATCCTACTTTGAAAATTGAGTTCCCCATGTTACGCTGAGTGCAAGCCAGCCAGTTCTCTCCATACCTACCTTCCCCAGCATGCGTTGATCTCCAAGCTGAGAGGTCCAGCTTCGGTATCCGATTGCAGTTCACAAAGTCTCTGGGGTAAGTATTGGCATAGAAAATATGCCTAGGAACCTCAGTAATGTGGGTGTTATCACAGATTATACGTGGCAAGCTGATCCGTCTCAGGGCGCTTCGCTGCTGGGGAGTGAAAATCCCGATATTCTCCCACCAGAATCTGCCCAAAACAGGAAAAGAGCAGCAACAGATTTTATCCTGTGGATTTTGATAGACTCGGGACAGCTGGCATGTCATTTCCAATGAAACATGAACACAAGCAACATTTTTCTCTTTAAAAAGAACAGGAGGACTTGTGGCACCTTAGAATAAGAGAATAATAGAATATCAGGGTTGGAAGGGACCTCAGGAGGTCATCTAGTCCAACCCCCTGCTCAAAGCAGGACCGATCCCCAACTAAATCATCCCAGCCAGGGCTTTGTCAAGCCTGACCTCACTAGTGTCGAATAGAGGGGAACGATCATGTCCCTCCATCTGCTGGCAATGCCCCTACTTATATATCCCAAAATGCCATTGGCCTTCTTGGCAACAAGGGCACACTGTTGACTCATATCCAGCTTCTCGTCCACTGTAACCCCTAGGTCCTTTTCTGAAGAACTGCTGCCTAACCATTCGGTCCCTAGTCTGTAGCGGTGCATGGGGTTCTTCCGTCCTAAGTGCAGGACTCTGCACTTGTCCTTGCTGACCCTCATCAGATTTCTTTTGGCCCAATCCTCCAATTTGTCTAGGTCCCTCTGTATCCTATCCCTACCCTCCAGCGTATCTACCTCTCCTCCCAGTTTAGTGTCATCTGCAAACTTGCTGAGGGCAATCCACACCATCCTCCAGATCATTTATGAAGATATTGAACAAAACCGGCCCCAGGACGGACCCTTGGGGCACTCCACTTGATACCAGCTGCCAACTAGACATGGAGCCATTGATCACTACCCGTTGAGCCCGACAATCTAGCCAGCTTTCTATCCACCTCATAGTCCATTCATCCAGCCCATACTTCTTTAATTTGCTGGCAAGAATACTGTGGGAGACAATGCCAAAAGCTTTGCTAAAGTCATGGAATAACACGTCCACTGCTTTTCCTTCTTCCACGGAACCAGTTATCTCATCATAGAAGGCAATTAGATTAGTCAGGCATGACTTGCCCTTGGTGAATCCATGCTGACTGTTCCTGATCACTTTCCTCTCCTCTAAGTGCTTCAGAATTGATTCCTTGAGGACCTGCTCCATGATTTTTCCAGGGACTGAGGTGAGGCTGACTGGCCTGTAGTTCCCAGGATCCTCCTTCTTCCCTTTTTTAAAGATGGGCACTACATTAGCCTTTTTCCAGTCGTCCGGGACTTCCCCCGATCGCCATGATAATGGCCAATGGCTCTGCAATCACATCCGCCAACTCCTTTAGCACTCTTGGATGCAATGCATCCGGCCCCATGGACTTGTGCACGTCCAGCTTTTCTAAATAGTCCCGAACCACTTCTTAGAGACTAATAAATTTATTTGAGCATAAGCTTTCGTGAGCTACAGCTCACTTCATCAGTTTTCTACTGCATGCATCCGATGAAGTGAGCTGTAGCTCACGAAAGCTCATGCTCAAATAAATTTGTTAGTCTCTAAGGTGCCACAAGTCCTCCTTTTGTTTTTGCAGATACAGACTAACACGGCTGCTACTCTGAAATCTTTCTCTTTGTGAGCTTTGTAATGAATGGGGCTTTGTGATGAGGCTGAGCGGACTCGCTCTGAAGTGGAATGTGAGGGACCACTACATTTTTGTTATGGTCTCCCACAGTATTTTTGCCAGCAAGTTAAAAAAGTATGTATTGGATTAATGGACTATAAAATGGATAGAAAGCTGGCTAGATTGTTGGGCTCAACGGGTAGTGATCAATGGCTCCATGTCTAGTTGGCAGCCGGTATCAAGCAGAGTGCCCCAGGGGTTGGTCCTGGGGCCAGTTTTGTTCAATATCTTCATTAATGGTCCGGATGATGTGATTAATTGCACCCTCAGCAAGTTCGCAGATGACACTAAGCTCGGGGGAGAGGTAGATATGCTGGAGGGTAGGGATAGGTCCCAGAGTGACCTAGACAAATTGGAAGATTGGGCCAAAAGAAATCTGATGAGGTTCAACAAGGACAAGGGCAGAGTCCTGCACTTAGGAAGGAAGAATCCCATTCACCGCCACAGGCTGGGGACTGACTGGCTAAGCAGCAGTTCCGCAGAAAAGGACCTAGGGGTTACAGTGTACAAGAAGCTGGATGTGAGTCAACAGTGTGCCCTTGTTGCCAACAAGGCCAACAGCATATTGGGCTTTATTACTAGGAGCATTGCCAGCAGATCGAGGGAAGTGATTATTCCCCTCTACTCGGGGCACTGGTGGGCCACACCTGGAGTATTGTGTCCAGTTTTGGTCCCCCCACTACAGAAGGGATGTGGACAAATTGGAAAGAGTCCAGCGGAGGGCAATGAAAATGATTTCGAAGTCATGACTTATGAGGAGAGGCTGAGGGAACTAGGGTTATTTAATCTGCAGAAGAGAAGAATGAGGAGGGATTTGATAGCAGCCTTCAACTACCTGAAGGGGGGTTCCAAAGAGGATGGAGCTTGGCTGTTCTCAGTGGTAGCAGATGACAGAACAAGGAGCAATGGTCTAAAGTTGCCGCAGGGTGGGGTCTAGGTTGGATATTAGGAAACACTATTTCACTAGGTGGGTGGTGAAGCACTGGAATGGGTTACCTAGGGAGGCGGTGGAATCTCCTTCCTTAGAGGTTTTTAAGGCCCAGATAGACAAAGCCCTGTCTGGGATGACCTAGCTAGTGCTGGCCCAGCTTAGAGCAGGGGGTTGGACTAGATGACCCCCTGAATTCTCTTCCAACCCTGGGATTCTCTGATTCTATGCTCCCCTGGGTGGGCGAAGCCAAGCCCGCCCCACCCCTTTCACTGGAAGTACCAGGAGCTCCTCTGTTACTGAGCCACAGGAGAGACCGGATGTCTCTTCAGGGGAGCAGACGTCCCTGCAAGAGCCTGGTCCAGCCCAAGTGGACCGACACTTTGCCATCATGGGAGGCAGACGAGGACCCCGAGGAGCTGCCGGAGCTACCCGTGGCCAAGTACCCCGAGCAGAGAGGGGACCTTTGGGACCAGGGCTGGCTCCAATGTTTTTGCCGCCCCAAGCCGCAAAAAAACCCCAAAAACATGTGGCTGAACACAGAAGCGGAGTGATGGTGTGGCCGCCGAATTGCCGCCAGTGACTGTAGAAGAGTCACATCCCGCCACCGCCGAGGGCGGATTGCCGCCCCAGAGCCCGACGTCCTGCCGCCCCTTTACATTGGCCGCCCAAGGCACCTGCTTGGTTCGCTGGTGCTTGGAGCTGGCCCTGTTTGGGACCCTACATCCAGACTGTGGTGGGGGGGCCCCAGAGAGACCAGACTCTAGTCCGGTCCTGCTGCCGGAGTGTGAGTCAGCATGTTGCGGCTGGAATCCCCGCTGACCCAGTGGCAGATCACCTTGCCACTTTCAGGGGCCTGGGCTGGGATGCAGTGGAGTTGGGTGGGCCTGCGTCCCCCTGATACCCCACCCCTGGATGGCAGCCTCCCCACCATAGGCAAAGAGGCCTGTGTTGGCGTTCACACCCCCCTTCTCCCTCCCCGCCTGAGCCTCTTGTCTGCTTTGGTGCTCAGCTCCCGCTCTGCCCCGCCTGAGCCCCCAGACTGCTTTGGCACTCACCCCTGCAAGAGCCCTAATTGTGACTCCGCTCCGCCCAGAGGGAGCCAGAGCCCCTCTACAGACGGTTTGTAGCTGTCTGCCCAGCCAGGTGGCTGCAGGCTAAAGACTGTTTGTGTTTCTGCCCCCCCCCCCCCAAAAAAGGGGCTGGAGCTCTTCCCTATAAGACTATTACTGTAGTCTGCCTGTAGTGAGGTCTGCCTGAAGTCTGCCTGTAGTGAGGCAGAGTAGCCTCCCTCTCCCACTTCAGAGTGAGGGACCACTACAGGCTTAAATTCCAGTGGCTTACTATGAATGGGGATCCCCTTTTCTGTATTCAGAATACCTACAGTGGAGCACCCACAGGGACACTACTCGAAGAAGAATAAGTAGATATCAACTGGGATTCCTATCTTTGTATGATCTCTTACCTGTCCCCATCTCGCAATTTTCTGAACTGAGATCCAATGAGGCAAGCCATGGTGGGCCCAACTCTGCCATTGGGAACAAATGGCTCCGCGAGTGCCCCAATCCAGATGTCGATATTGTCTGGTGTCCCGTACAGGTCCATGAACTTCTTGGCTAGCTTATGATTTCTCAGCTCTTCAGAGAGATCAGCTAAGTTGCAAAGCTGTGAAAGCCCACAGAATTGCCTCCAGGCGTTATACCCTGCAGAACCAGAGCAGAGCAGTCAATACCACCATCTCCCTCCCATCTGTGCTAGCAAGTTGTTCCTCTTCCTTGGGTGACGCAGTCACATATTTGTTTCTAGTGTATTTGAAGTCTTTTCTAAAGCTCTCCCCTTATTGTCTCTGATTTTCTGTTCTTTGTGTCAACTCTTTGTGTCAACTTTAGTTCCAATTAGTACCTTACCTGGCACGATCGGTATAGTTCAGGCAGGATGTCTATTCTTTAGATCATGCTGTTTTAGACATAACCCTTTCCTACCCGGCAGCTTTTACTCTTTGTTTGTTTTGGTGTCAGAGGCACATGAATAATTGTGTCTCTCTATGGAGTCTTAAGTTACTTTCAGGCTCCATTTACAGTTTAAGATTCTAACATATTCTTCCACCTGCTATTAACTAAAATGATCTTTGGATGTATAAAGAGGGGAATGTTGAGTAGAACTAGTGAGATTCTGTCATCTCTGAATCACTGTTGGAACACTACATCCCATTCTGGTCTCCACACTTTAAAAATAATATTGAAAACCTGGGCAGGGTTCAGAGAAGAGCTAAGGAATCATTTGAAATCTGGAAAGTACAACTTACACTAAGAGATTTAATGAGCTCAATGTATTTCACTTATCAAAACAAAGATTAAGAGACTCTTTAATCCTGTCAATAATTGCCTATCTAGAGAAGGCACCAGGTATTAGGGAGCTCTTTGCTCTAGCAGATAAAGGCAGAATAAGATCCCATGGCTGGAAGCTGAAGTTAGACAAATTCAAATGAGAAATAAATTGCAGCTTTTTAACAGTGAGTGTAATGAAGCATTGGAACAGATTAGCAAAGGAGGGAGTAAATTATCCTCATTTAGAGGGTTTTAATCAATTTGGGTATCTTTGTAAATGTTCTGTTCTAGTTCAGACACCTGGTAGTAGACCCAGTTGTGTTGCCTTAAAAAGCAGGGAAGAATTATTCCCTCCACTGCAGGAATGACAGGCTGATGTTATATGGTCTGTGTTATGCCGGTCAGATTAGATCCTAGAGGTTACTTCTGGCCTTGAAAACTGTGAATTTATCACCATTCCTCATAGTTTTGAAGTCTGCCTTATTAAGTTTCCCACCACAATGCTATCCTAGTTACAATATCAGCCTAATTGGGCAGTGATCACTGTTAGCCCAGGAAGCTTCTATGTTCCATTTTAATTTTATTAACTCCTGTCTATTACTCAAGACTAAGGGCTTGTCTACACTGAAAACGCTGCAGCTGCCCCACTGCAGTGCTTCAATGAAGACGCTATCTACACCTCCTGTCAACATGGGTACTCCACTTCCCCAAGAGGCGGAACTAGGTCTGTACCAGGGGTCAGGTTGGTTTAACTGTGTCACTCAGGGGTGTGGATTATTCACTCCCCTGAGCGATGTAGTGATACTGACCTAATTTCCTGGTGTAGACCACATCTGAATTGAGAATTGCTTCTTCTGTAGGCACCTCAACAGGCTGATATAAAAAGGTATCATTCTGGTACCAAACTGATATTCCAAACCATTCCCAGATTCATAGAGTGTAAGGCCAGAAGGAACTATTAGATCATCTAGTCTGAGCTCCTGAGTAACACAGGCCAGAAATTTTAGCTTCTCCTGTGCTGAGCCCAACTAAATGTGTCTGAGTAAAGCATCTCTTCTAGAAACGTTTCAGAGTAGCAGCCATGTTAGTCTGTAGCCGCAAAAAGAAAAGGAGGACTTGTGGCACCTTAGAGACTAACAAATTTATTTGAGCATAAGCTTTCATGAGCAGCTCACTTCATCGGATTTGTTAGTCTCTAAGGTGCCACAAGTCCTCCTTTTCTCTTCTAGAAAGGCCCCAGTCTTGCTCTGAAGACTTAAGGAGGTGAGAATCGACCACTTTCCTTGGCAGCTTGTTCCAATGGCTAATCACCCTCTATTAAAAATCTGTGCCATATTTCCCATTTGAATTTGTCTGGCCTCAGCTTCTAGCCATTGGCTCTTGTTCTGCCTGTCTCCTCTGCATTAAAGAGCCCTTTAGCACCCAGGCTTTTCTCCCCATGATGGTACTGAAACAGTATAGTCCAGTCACCTCTATATCGTCTTTCTGATCAGCTAGTCAGGTGGAGTTTTTTAAGTCTCTCACTGTAAGTTTCTCCAGCCCTCAAATCTTTTTAGTGGCACTTCTCTGTACCATCTTCAGTTTGTCATCATTTTTTTTCATTGGAGACACCAGAAATAGACGCAACATTCCAAGACTGGTCCCACCAATGCCGTACACAGAGGTAAAATCACCTCCTTACTCCTACTCACCATGGTCTAGTGAATCGTAGGGGAGTTAAAGGCATCCACTATCATTTTTCTACCTGCTACTTTTCTTTACGACTCCTCCACTTCTGCAATCTTAGCTGTGAGGTGTTACGGTTGGCTCCTGAGGACACTGACCTGCTCACAGCAGGGGCACATCTGCCACACAATAAGTAGTGGTAGCAGATGACAGAACAAGGATCAATGGTCTCAAGTTGCAGTGGGGGAGGTCTAGGGTGGATATTAGGAAAAACTTTTTCACTAGGAGGATGGTGAAGCACTGGAATGGGTTCCCTAGGGAGGTGGTGGAATCTCCCTCCTTAGAGGTTTTTAAGGTCAGGCTTGACAAAGCCCTGGCTGGGATGATTCAGTTGAGGATTGGTCCTGCTTTGAGCAGGGGGTTGGACTAGATGGCCTCTTGGGGTCCCTTCCAACCCTGATCTTCTATGATTCTATGAGCCACAGACAGGACATGTGAGAAGATGCGATTTGTTGAATCAAAGAGGCAGCGTGGTTCAGGAGCTGGGCAGAGTTAGAATGCAGCAATTCCTGAATTCTAGTCCGGGCTTGGCAATGATTCTTGCAGACAAGTCATTAGCTTCCATGCCAGTTTTGCCATTTATCAACTGAAGATAATATGTTTGTTGTGACACAAAGAGAAGAGTTCATCAGTGACTGTTTGCAATGTTCTGTGCAATGTGATGTGAACGTAAAGGATTATGTTGCTAAGCATCTAACTCCAGTCAGCTCTTAGCTCCACACTGGCTGCTAAGTCAGTGGCTAACTTTCATAGAATCATAGAATATCAGGGTTGGAAGGGACCTCAGGAGGTCATCTAGTCCAACCCCCTGCTCAAAGCAGGACCAATCCCCAATTAAATCATCCCAGCCAGGGCTTTGTCAAGCCTGACCTTAAAAACTTCTAAGGAAGGAGATTCCACCACCTCCCTAGGTAACGCATTCCAGTGTTTCACCACCCTCCTAGTGAAAAAGTTTTTCCTAATATCCAACCTAAATCTCCCCCACTGCAACTTGAGACCATTACTCCTTGTTCTGTCATCTGCTACCACTGAGAACAGTCTAGAGCCATCCTCTTTGGAACCCCCTTTCAGGTAGTTGAAAGCAGCTATCAAATCCCCCCTCATTCTTCTCTTCCGTAGACTAAACATCCCCAGTTCCCTCAGCCTCTCCTCATAAGTCATGTGTTCCAGTCCCCTAATCACTTTTGTTGCCCTCCGCTGGACTCTTTCCAATTTTTCCACATCCTTCTTCTAGTGTGGAGCCCAAAACTGGACACAGTACTCCAGATGAGGCCTCACCAGTGTCGAATAGAGGGGAACGATCATGTCCCTCCATCTGCTGGCAATGCCCCTACTTATACATCCCAAAATGCCATTGGCCTTCTTGGCAACAAGGGCACACTGTTGACTCATATCCAGCTTCTCGTCCACTGTAACCCCTAGGTCCTTTTCTGAAGAACTGCTGCCGAGCCATTCGGTCCCTAGTCTGTAGCGGTGCATGGGGTTCTTCCGTCCTAAGTGCAGGACTCTGCACTTGTCCTTGTTGAACCTCATCAGATTTCTTTTGGCCCAATCCTCCAATTTGTCTAGGTCCCTCTGTATCCTATCCCTACCCTCCAGCGTATCTACCTCTCCTCCCAGTTTAGTGTCATCTGCAAACTTGCTGAGGGTGCAATCCACGCCATCCTCCAGATCATTTATGAAGATATTGAACAAAACCAGCCCCAGGACCGACCCTTGGGGCACTCCACTTGACACCGGCTTCCAACTAGACATGGAGCCATTGATCACTACCCATTGAGCCCGACAATCTAGCCAACTTTCTATCCACCTTATAGTCCATTCATCCAGCCCATACTTCTTTAACTTGCTGGCAAGAATACTGTGGGAGACCATGTCAAAAGCTTTGCTAAAGTCAAGGAACAACACGTCCACTGCTTTCCCTTCATCCACTTTCCTACCTACTGGTTTACTGTGGCACAGTAAAGCAGACAGGACCCAGAAGAGATCCCGGCAAGATCCCAGCCAACACTGTGCTGTCAATATTTACTCTCCATGTCAGACTTTTTGTCGCAGGGTATGTGGATGGCTTAAGGTTGACTACATTTCTCTGTATTCCATTATGGGACTGTCTGGTTTTCCCCCTACGTTTCTAGAATATACTGCAATTTACATTCATTCCTGTGGGGTTTGGCATTTTGGTTTTTCCATTTCCTCTGGAGGTTTGTTTCTGAGATGGAGCCAGCTGGGATCCTCACCTGGGAGACCTTTATCTCTGCCACGCTGCATGTTAAGTGCCGCTAAATCCAGTCCAATCCTCATGACCTGTTCAAACAGCCGATCCCGGACTTCATCCACAACCATTTGCCTCTGTGTCATCAGTTTGGCCTGATTAGCCATCAAGCCACGGAGAATAGGGTCAATGCCACCTGCAGGAATTAAACAGCTACTAGTAAATGGCCTTCCACGTCCAACAACATTAGGGATGGACACTGCATTTGAAACAGAGGCCCTACCTGGGCTTTTGTTCATACATCTACTGGTATAGTAGATGACTTGGGAACCTAAGCTTTGAATTTCCTGATATCTGGAAAAGTGCTCCTTCAGAAAAGGAGGGTGGTCCAGCAGTTAACATGCTGACCTGGGACTCAGGAGACTTAGGTTGAATTCCCTGCACCATCACAAACTTCCTAGGAGGCCTTGGGCAAGATACTCAGGCCCCAATCCAAAAAAGGTGCATGGCCATTGTAAAGATTCACTTCTCGGTGCCTGGAAAATCAGGGGACCCACAAAGCCTGAGGTAGGCATCAGTGCATAGGGGGGTGGGGGAGAGAGGCACCCGAGGAAAGGCTCCACCAAAGCTCGGTGGGGAGCCATCCCAACTAGCCAACGGGGGAGGCAGATCAGAGGGCAGTGTTCTAAGCCCCACCCCCTCGCAGAGTTCAGCACCCAAATCCAGGCTGCAGGAAGACGCCTATCTCTGCTAGCAATCCACAGCCAGGAACCCCTCTGCTGGAGTCAGGAGGTTTAGATGGCTGCCTAGCTTCCCACAACACTGAGGAAGCTGCCTCCTGTATAACCTTCAGTGCACTGGTTCGGGCACTCACCCAGGACATGGGAGACCAAGTTCAATTCCGTCCTCTGCCTGATATGTAGAAGGGATTTGACCAAGGCTCTTCCCCTGCTCATATGAACACCCTAATGACTGAACTATGGGATATTCTGGTAGCAGTGCTGTCAGTCTCTCTTGTGAAAGCTGTTCTACTGTAACTAAATATTAATTGGGCCAGAGAAAGCATGAGAATCTCCCTATAGTCCAGTGTTTAAGGCACTCACCTAAGAGGTGGGAAAGCCCTCTTCAAACTTTTTCGCCTCATCAGGAAGAGGATGGAATTAAACTGGGGCCTCCCCCTTCCTGGGTGAGTACCCTAGCCACTGGATTAAAGGCTATAAGGGAGGCCAGCTCTTCCTCTTCCTCCCTCCTTGCCTGACTGTTCTGTGTAGCATTAGGCATGTTCTGAGCACACCCATTGGACTGGGTCCTGCAGGAAGATAGGTGGAGGAACATGGTCAGGGTAGAACCATAGACCCCAAAGGAGCATTTGCAGCAAATGCATTTAGGCACCTAAAGGGTTAAATGGCAGCTGAGTGGGGGTTTTGTGACTTGCAGTGGTGCCTAAACAGGGATTTAGTCCCCTAAATCTGGGATTTAGGCACGTACATCCCTTTGTGAATCTCTCCTGTATTCTCTCTGGGCCTCAGTTCCCCATCTGCAACTGGGGACAGTAAGAATATCAGAACGGCTATCCTGGCTCAGAGCAGTGGTCCATCGAGCCCAGTGTCCTGTCTCTGACAGTGGCTGATGCCAGATGTCTGCCCTATCTCACAGGGGTGTTGTGAGGATAAATACCTTAAAGATTTCGTGAGCTACAGCTCACTTCATTGGATGAAGTGAGCTGTAGCTCACGAAAGCTTATGCTCAAATAAATTGGTTAGTCTCTAAGGTGCCACAAGTCCTCCTTTTCTTTTTGCAGATACAGACTAACACGGCCGCTACTCTGAAACCTTAAAGATTGTGAGAGACCCAGACCATATGGTGATGGGGACCATGTAAGTACCTCACATAACTCCAAACTTCCTGCATTCAGGTCTTTTTTCCTCCCCTCTCAGGAAAATGTTTATCTTCAGTGATTTTATTAACAACTATAAACATTTAACCAACCACGTGTGAGCTACCCCAAGAGGACGGTTTCTACTTTGACCACTCAGAGGAACTGTGCTGGGATGGCAAGATGCTTTGGCCACTGGTGACTGGCAGGATTCACTGGCTGATTTTGAGACAACGACCCCTATGTTGATGTATCCTGTTGTGAAGTCTGGCCATAGTGGCAGACGGGAAGTGTCTGACCAGAATGGGTGTGGGGCAGCGGAGAGTAGGACTGCAGGAAGGGTTTTACCTTGTGTCACAATTTTCCACGTAGCAAAGAATTCTTTGCTGAGGAGAGTTGGGGGGCCTACAGGCTGGTAGCGATCATCCAAGCGGAACACAAAGGGCTGAATCGAAGCGTGAGCAAAGCGGAAAGCGATGGTGAAGATGCTGGATATTCGGGGATCCACAGAGTCATTGTACCCCTGGTAGAAAGGAATAGCTGTCCTGAAGTTATTTCCCAGCACGTGGGGCAAGTAGTCTCTGAAGGTTATAATCTGGGGAAAACAAGGAGAGGATGATCCACTCATGGCACCAACCATCAGCTCCCTGGGAGTGCAGAGAGGGCTATGCTCATCTCCCAAGAGTTATTCTATGTAACTGTTTCAAAACCACCTGTCTGGGAACACGCAATAAAAGGGCAAGTGCTTGTACAAAATGGGAGCAGAGAAAGTGCACAGGACAGGGGCTACCCAACAATCTCTCTGTTGACTTGGCCAGACACTCTTTTCACCCAAACACACTTTAGTCCCAGGTACCAGATTGTAACTTACTTCCTAACTTTGTGGCACAGACTCATGGTCCTTTCTACAGCTGGCCATTTTATCACATGGTCAGTGATGCATCCTTCGGCAGGCCAGATTTGGGTGTCAGCACAAAAGTCCTCTGCATATGGCTGCGGCTTCCCCAGCCATGCAATTGTTTCAGAATCTCAGCTTTCGTTACAAATAACAAAGTTTCCACCCTTCATGTTTGCTCAGAAAAGAATTAAAACACGCCCCAGCAGGCTACTGTGAGCACATCAGACCTGTCCTCTACTTCCTACGCTTGCTTACCATAGAATTTCACATTAAGTTCAAGGTCTCAGTCCCAGGGTATCTAAAAGACTAGCTAAAGCTCCCGGATGAAACCTGTGATCGACAACTCTGCTCCTCTGGCACAATGGAACTCTCAACAATCAGAGTAAAGATCATCGGTGTAGGAGACAAGACTTTTTCCGGGTTTAGTCTGACACAGTGCAATGAACTCCCCCAAGAATCAAGGACCATCCCATATCTCCTTGCTTTCCACTCCAGGTGCAAGGCACATTTCTTTGACCTTGCCAGTCAAAGGGGGCTGGTGGTTCCTAAAAGATGTAATCCTAGATGCTCAATATCAAGCTATTCCAGTGCAGAGAAAAGAAAAGAAAAGCCACAAGAGGCCAATGTGGCTGCATGAGGATCTTCATAGCTATCTACAAACCAAAAGGGATCCATAAAAGAAATGGAAGGAGGGGCATGGCACCAAGGAAGGATACATGGGATAGCATGAGTGTGTAGGGACAGAATCAGGAGAGCCAAGGCAAAGAATAAGTTACAGCTGGCAAGGAATGTTAGAGACAAGAAGGGGATCTGCAAATATGTCAGACAAAAAAGGGAAGATCAGGGATGCTGAGGGTCCACTGTTCAATGGAGAAGGTGAACTGGTAATGGAAGATGATAGGAAAGAAGAGCTGCTCAATGTCTACTTTGCTTCAGTTTTCACACACCAAATAACACGTGACTGGACGACTAGCGAAGTTACCATAGACAATAAAGGGGAAGGGATGCAGATCGGGATAAGTAAAGAACACATCAGAGATCTTCTGACTAATCTGAATGAATTCAAGTCAGTGGGGCCTGATGTTATTTATCCCAGGGTGCTGAAGAAATTAGCTGAAGAAATCTCAAAGCCACTGGCAATAATATTTGCAAACTCATGGATGACAGGAGAGGTCCCGGAAGACTGGAGAAGGGCAAATCTGGGGCTCATCTTTAAAAAGAGGAAAAAGGAGGAGCCAGGAAACTACAGACCAATCAGCCTGACCTCCATCCCTGGGAAGCTACTAGAGCAATGTACAAAACAGTTAATTTGCGAATACCTGGAGGCTGAAGGGTGATCACAAGCAGCCAACATGGATTTATCAAGAACAAATCATGTCAAACCACCTTGATTTCCTTCTTTGACAAGGTAATTCGTTTAGTGGATGGGGGAAATGCGGTGGACATAAATACCCTGACTTTAGCAAGTCTTTTGACACAGTCCCACAAGACATTCTAATAAGTAAGTGGGAGAAATGCAGGCTCAGTGGAACTACCATTAAGTGAATACATAATATGTTAAACAACCACAAACAAAGAATAACTATTAATGGAATGATGTCAGATTGGAAGGAGGTCTTGGGTGGAGTTCCACTGGAATCTGTTCTGGGCCCAGTGTTGTTTAACATTGTCATTAATGACCTGGATGTAGGTATAGAGAGCACACTGATCAAGTTTGCAGATGACACAAAGCTGGGGGTGGTTGCCAACACTTTGGAGGGTAGAGCTAAAATTCAGAGGGATCTTGATAAACTGGAGAACTGGGCTAGACAACAAAATGAATTTCAACAAAGACAAATGTGAGGTGCTACACTTAGGGAAGAAAAACCAAATGCACAAATACAGAATGGGGGAAAACTGGCTTGGCAGCAGCTCTGCTGAGAAGGCTGTGGGGGTTGTGGTGGATCACAGCTTCAACATGAGTCAGCAATGTGATGCTGTTGCAAAAAAAGCAAATGCAATTTTAGGCTGTATTAACCTAAAGCTGGTTAGGCCTCAGCTGGAGTACAGTGTCCAGTTTTGGTCACCAATGTGTAGAAAGGATGAAGAGAAACTGGAAAGGATCCAGAGGTGTGGGACAAAGATGATCAAAGGAATGGAACACAAGCCATATAAGCAAAGGCTGAAGGAACCGGGTATGTTTAGTTTGGAAAAGAGGAGATTAAAGGAGGAGATAATATGATCTTCAAATACTTAAAAGACTGCCATAAAAAAGATGGAGAAAAGTTGTTCTCTCTTGCCATAGAGGACAGTACAAGAGGAAATCGGTAAAAACTACAGCATAGCAGATTTAGATTAAATCTCAGGAAAAACTTCCGAACTGTAAGAGCAGTAGGGCAATGGAACAGAGGCCTCTGGAGGTCATGGAAACTCCCACACTGGAGGTTTTCCAAAGGAGGCAGGATAGCAGGCTGTCTTGTATGGTTAAGACAGTGGTTCTCAAACTTTAGCAACCCGAGGACACCCTTGATTTAAAATTTTTCGGGGACCCCCAAGGCCCTCCACTTAGCCCTGGCCCTGCCCCCTTCCCTGAGGCCATGCCCCACCCCTTCTCCAAGGCCCCATCCCTGCTCACTCCATCCCCACTCCCTCTGTTGCTCGCTTTCCCCCACGCTCACTCACTTTCACCAGGCTGGAGCAGAGGGTTGGGGTGCAGGAGAGGGAGTAGGGTGCAGGCTCTGGGAGGGAGTTTGGGTGCAGAAGGGGGTGTGGGGTGCAGGCTCTGGAAGGGAGTTTGGGTGTGGGAGCGGGCTCTGGGCTGGGGCAATGGGTTGGGGTGCAGGAGGGGGTGACGGGTGCAGTCTCCAGCTGGGCAGTGCTTACCTCGGGCAGCTCCCGAAAGTGACTGGCACATCCCTCTGACAGCAGCTCCTAGGCTGCGTGGCCAGGGGGTCTCCGCACGCTGCCCCTGCCCACAGACACCACCCCTGCAGCTCCCATTGGCTGCAGTTCATGGCCAATGGGAACTGCGGACTCAGCACTTGGGGCGGGGGCAACGTGTGGACACCCCCCCCCCCCAAGGGTCGCAGGGACATGTCGGCCACTTCCGGGAGCGGCACGGAGTCAGAGCAGGTAGGAAGCCTGCCTTAGCCCCACTTAGCCCCACAGACTTTTGGCATGCAGGAAGCGCTGGGAGGGAGGGGCAGGAGTTGATGGAGGGATGGGGAGATCAGCAGAGCCCCTCAGGTACCCTCAGGGGTCTGCAGACCCCAGTTTGAGAAATCTGGTTTTGACACAAGAAATCCTTGGCAGTGGGTTAAAGTAGATGACCCTTGCAGTCCCTTCTAACCAGTGATGAGCTGCCAGAAGCTGAAGAACTGGTTCCCTCGGTCACTCTGGGTCTTCGGCAGTGCTGCCGAAGGGCCAGAGCGCTGCTGGGGGAGTAAAAATTCTCAGAGAAGCTTCCCCAGCCGAGAGCTCAGGCACTGGCTTCCCTCTTGGGGGGGCTCTGCCCCTCCCTTCTGACCTTTCGGCTCCACAAGTCAGATGAGGGCTGAAAGTGGCAGTGTCTCCCAAACACCATCCACTTGTGACTCCAAAGGGAGATGCTGTTTCCAGCAGCCTGTGCAGATCTGTGAAATCCCGTCCCTCCTTTCTTGCATACTATAACCAATTTCCAGAAGAGTTAATAGTGCTGACATTTAAATTATCACCATTATTGAGCATAACCCCAAATATACGTACAATACGATGGGGGCTAATTTAGCTACAACTAATCAGGAGAAAGATCTTGGAGTCATCGTGGATAGTTCTCCGAAGACATCCATGCAGTGTGCAGCGGCAGTCAAAAAAAGCAAACGGGATGTTAGGAATCATTAAAAAAGGGATAGAGAATAAGACGGAGAATATCTTATTGCCCTTATATAAGTCCATGGTACACCCACATCTTGAATACTGCATACAGATGTGGTCCCCTCATCTCAAAAAAGATATATTGGCATTAGAAAAGGTTCAGAGAAGAGCAACTAAAATGATTAGGGGTTTGGAATGGGTCCCATATGAGGAGAGATTAAAGAGGCTAGGCTTTTTCAGCTTGGAAAAGAGGAGACTAAGGGGGGATATGATAGAGGTATATAAAACCATGAGTGGTGTGGAGAAAGTGAATAAGGAAAAGTTATTTACTTGTTCCCATAATATAAGAACTAGGGGCCACCAAATGAAATTAATGGGTAGCAAGTTTAAAACAAATAAAAGGAAGTTCTTCTTCACTCAGTGCACAGCCAACCTCTGGAACTCCTTGCCTGAGGAGGTTGTGAAGGCTAGGACTATAACAGGGTTTAAAAGAGAACTGGATAAATTCATGGAGGTTAAGACCATTAATGGCTATTAGCCAGGATGGCTAAGGAATGCTGTGCCTAGCCTCTGTTTGTCAGAGGGTGGAAATGGATGGCAGGAGCGAGATTACTTGATCATTACCTGTTAGGTTCACTCCTTCTGGGGCACCTGGCATTGGCCACTGTCAGTAGACAGGATACTGGGCTGGATGGACCTTTGGTCTGACCCAGTATAGCCATTCTTATGTTCTTATCTGCACTCGAGACCCCAAAGCAATGAATGGGGCTGTCATAAATATAAAGGGAAGGGTAATCACCTTTAAAATCCCTTCTGGCCAGAGGAAAAATCCTTTCACCTGTAAAGGGTTAAGAAGCTAAAGGTAACCTCACTGGCACCTGACCAAAATGACCAATGAGGAGACAAGATACTTTCAAAAGCTGGGAGGAGGGAGAAAAACAAAGGGTCTGGGTCTGTTCGTGTGATGCTTTTCCCAGGGACAGAACAGGAATGGAGTCTTAGAACTTAGTAAGTAATCTAGCTAGGTATGTGTTAGATTATGATTTCTTTAAATGGCTGAGAAAATAGTTGGGCTGAATAGAATGAATATTCCTGTCTGTGTGTCTTTTTTGTAACTTAAGGTTTTGCCTAGAGGGATTCTCTATGTTTTGAATCTAATTACCCTGTAAAGTATTTACCATCCTGATCTTACAGAGGTGATCCTTTTCTTTTTACTGTTTCTTCTATTAAAATGTTTCTTTTCAAGAACTGAATGCTTTTTTTCATTGTTCTAAGATCCAAGGGCTTGGGTCTGTGGTCACCTATGCAAATTGGTGAGGATTTTTACCAAACCTTCCCCAAGAAGTAGGGTGCAAGGGTTGGGAGGATTTTGGGGGGGAAAGACATTTCCAAACAACATTTTCTCAGGAACCCAGAGAAATGTTTGGTGGTGGCAGTGGAAAACCAAGGGCAAGGGGTAAAATAGTTTGTATCTTGGGGAAGTCTTAACGTAAGCTGGTAAAAGTAAGCTTAGGAGGTTTTCATGCAGGTCCCCACATCTGTACCCTGGAGTTCAGAGTGGGGAAGGAACCTTGACAGAGTGGGGAAGGAACCTTGACAGAGTGGGGAAGGAACCTTGACAGGGGCAGCCCATGCATCTCAGAGCTATTGTTTCAAGCCCTCTGACGATTCAGGCAGGCATCACACTCATTTCACATTTTCAAGGTTTTCTCTACAACTATAAAGGCTGGAGTTAGGGCTGAGCAAAAGTCAGAATTTCCATCCTGTGGGAAATTGCAATATTTCAACATTTATATCCGACCCTAGTCAGAATGAAAAGTTGAAATTTCAACAATGTTTGCAGAACAAAATAGTCCAAAATATTTTGTTTAGGAAATGCCAAAATCATAGATTTGTTGGGCTGGAAGGGACCTTGAAAGGTCATCTAGTCCATTCCCCTGTGCTAGGCCAGAACCACGCAAACCTGGACCATCCCTGACAGGTGTTTGTCCAACCTGTTCTTAAAACTGCCAGGGATGAGGATTCCACAATCTCCCTTAGTAACCTGTTCCAGTACTTCACTATCCTCTGAGTTAGAAAGTTTTTCCTAATATCTAAAGTAAATTTCCCTTGCTGCAGATTAAGCCCATTACTTCTTATCCTACCTTCAGTGGATGTAGAGAACAACTGACCACTGTCCTCTATAACAGCCCTTCACATATTTGAAGACTGTTATCAGTTCTCCACCTCCCTCAGTCTTTTTTTCTTACGACTAAACATGCCCAGTTTATGTCCTCATAGGTCAGGTTTTCTAAACCTTTGATCATTTTTGTAATTCTCCTCTGGACTCTTTCCAATTTATTCCAATCTTTCCTAGAGGGTGGAACCCAGAACTGGACACAGTACTCCAGCTGAGGCCTCACAAGTGCTGAGTAGAGCAAAACAATTACCTCCACTGTCTCACATATGACACTCTTATTCATATGTCCCAGAATAATATTAGCCTTTTTCGCAGCTGCATCACATTGTTGACTCACATTCAATTTGTGATCCATGGTAATCCCAAAATCCTGTTCAGTTGTACTACTATCGAGCATGTTATTTCCCATTTTGTAGTTGTGCATGTGATGTCTCCTTCCTAGGCAAAGTACTTTGCACTTGTCTTTTCTGAATTCCATCTTGTTGAATTCAGACCAATTCTCCAATTTGTCACGGTTGTTCTGAATTCTAATCCTCTCCTCCAAAGTGTCCTCCCAGCTTGTTGTCATTTCCAAATTTTAAAAGCATACTCACCACTCTATTATCGAAATCACTAATGAAAATAGCAAATAGTACCAGGCCCAGGACAGACCCCCGTGAGGCAACACTACATAACATCCTCCCAGTTTGACAACAGACCATTGGTAACCACTCCTTGAGTGTTGTCTTTCAACCAGTTAAGCACCCATTTTATATTAATTTAATCTAGGCCATGTTTCTCTAGTTTGCTTACAGGAATGTCATGTGGGACTGTGTCAAAAGACTTAGTAAACTCAGGTTTCAGAGTAACAGCCGTGTTAGTCTGTATTCGCAAAAAGAAAAGGAGGACTTGTGGCACCTTAGAGACTAACCAATTTATTTGAGCATGAGCTTTCGTGAGCTACAGCTCACTTCATCAGATGTATACCGTGGAAACTGCAGCAGACTTTATATACACACAGAGAATATGAAACAATACCTCCTCCCACCCCACTGTCCTGCTGGTAATAGCTTATCTAAAGTGATCATCAGGTGGGCCATTTCCAGCACAAATCCAGGTTTTCTCACCCTCCACCCCCCCACACAAATTCACTCTCCTGCTGGTGCTAGCCCATCCAAAGTGACAACTCTTTACATAATCAAGTCGGGCTATTTCCTGCATAAATCCAGGTTTTCTCACATCCCCCCAACCCCCATACACACACAAACTCACTCTCCTGCTGGCAATAGCTCATCTAAACTGACCACTCTCCAAGTTTAAATCCAAGTTAAACCAGAACATCTGGGGGGGGGGGGGGTAGGAAAAAACAAGAGGAAACAGGCTACCTTGCATAATGACTTAGCCACTCCCAGTCTCTATTTAAGCCTAAATTAATAGTATCCAATTTGCAAATGAATTCCAATTCAGCAGTTTCTCGCTGGAGTCTGGATTTGAAGTTTTTTTGTTTTAAGATAGCGACCTTCATGTCTGTGATTGCGTGACCAGAGAGACTGAAGTGTTCTCCGACTGGTTTATGAATGTTATAATTCTTGACATCTGATTTGTGTCCATTTATTCTTTTACGTAGAGACTGTCCAGTTTGACCAATGTACATGGCAGAGGGGCATTGCTGGCACATGACCTGCATATCCACCAATGTGATATATGCCATCATGTGACAGCAATGCCCCTCTGCCATGTACATTGGTCAAATTGGACAGTCTCTACGTAAAAGAATAAATGGACACAAATCAGATGTCAAGAATTATAACATTCATAAACCAGTCGGAGAACACTTCAATCTCTCTGGTCACGCAATCACAGACATGAAGGTCGCTATCTTAAAACAAAAAAACTTCAAATCCAGACTCCAGCGAGAAACTGCTGAATTGGAATTCATTTGCAAATTGGATACTATTAATTTAGGCTTAAATAGAGACTGGGAGTGGCTAAGTCATTATGCAAGGTAGCCTGTTTCCTCTTGTTTTTTCCTACCCGCCCCCCCCCCCCCCCCAGATGTTCTGGTTTAACTTGGATTTAAACTTGGAGAGTGGTCAGTTTAGATGAGCTATTGCCAGCAGGAGAGTGAGTTTGTGTGTGTATGGGGGTTGGGGGGATGTGAGAAAACCTGGATTTATGCAGGAAATAGCCCGACTTGATTATGTAAAGAGTTGTCACTTTGGATGGGCTAGCACCAGCAGGAGAGTGAATTTGTGGGGGGGGGTGGAGGGTGAGAAAACCTGGATTTGTGCTGGAAATGGCCCACCTGATGATCACTTTAGATAAGCTATTACCAGCAGGACAGTGGGGTGGGAGGAGGTATTGTTTCATATTCTCTGTGTGTATATAAAGTCTGCTGCAGTTTCCACGGTATACATCTGATGAAGTGAGCTGTAGCTCACAAAAGCTCATGCTCAAATAAATTGGTTAGTCTCTAAGGTGCCACAAGTACTCCTTTTCTTTTAGTAAACTCAAATGCTGAAACGGCAATTTCCATCAGAAAATCATCCCAGCCGAAAACTCCAAACCAGCTATCGCTAAAGACCCTTTTCTAATATTAAAGGGAGAATCTGAACAAGTGGAGCATAAGAAAAATACTGGTTTCCCCAACATGGTATTCCCTAGCCTAATACAGCCCAGCAGATAGTGGAATTGGCTGGATGTGCTGTTGATGCAGAGTGAAGAGGAGGGGGATATGCTGTGTGCTGCTAAGGGCTGTAGGAGTTTTTCTTCCACATCACAACAGGGGACCACCAGAAAAATTGTGACTCCTTGTGTGCATCCCCAGTGCGAACCTTCACTGAGCAGCCCCTTCCTCAGGGCACAGTCTAACAGTCAGAGCAATGTTAATTCAATGCCCATCCAGCATTTTAAAATTTAAACCCACAACATTTACACAATGTTGCTCCCTCCTACTTTCTTTGTCCCCATATTCCTCAGAGAGGTCTAGGCAGGAAGTCTGACAAGACAGACAAGACTCCCCACTCCCCACAGTGAAAAGTGATTTCCCCCACCTGCGTAACTCAGCAGTGGCCATTGTGTGCTCTTGCTTTCAGACAGGGAGTCTCTGAGGGGCTGGCATCAGGCATCTGATTGCTTAGCCAGAGAGGAACATTTTCCAGAAGTTCTCAGCAGCTGATGAGAGGGTGTTAAAGAGGAACACCCTTCTCAGCATCCCTCAGCTACTGCCATATCTTACATCCATGTGACATCTGCTATCCCAAATACTTCAAACCAGATATACAGTATCTTTCCACCCACCACGGAAATGCAGACACCACTTGCATAGAACATATAGCTACTTTATATCTATTATATCCAGAGGAATTTAGGGATGTCAAATTGGAATTTGGCAAAGCCCAACACCTACTCCCCTCTGAACAGTGCTGAGGACTATCTATTGACCTGATGAGGTCATAGCTTGGTTTCAGACAGCATCTCCAGTACCACAGTTCCCCAGCACCACACTGGGCATTGGTTCAGAACTGACTCAGAAGGAAAAGCACCACCTCCCTGACCCCTTTTGCCTCTTCCTGTAGGAACACAGATTTCCCTTGATGGTCCCATTTTCAAGTACTGATGAAACCTGACCATGCTTCGCCTATAAGCTCACAGCCCAAGGCAGCATGGCTGCGGGAAACCAGTCATTACAACTGGTACCTGGATCATGGCACCTATGATCTTCCGGGCCTCCTGGTAGAGCTTCTCTCCATCCCACTGTGGATTTAATCTCCTCAGCTCTCTGGCCAAGCGATTGTGCTCCCGGAGAAAAAGTGTGTGCAAAGATGTCAGCTCTGGCATTTCATTGGCTCGAGTGTCACCTGTGGAAATCAAAACCACTAATTCAGTCTCCCAGCCTTGTTCCCCTTGTAATCACATCTCCTTCCCCTCAACCCCCTACTGCTCCTCCCACTGAGTAGGTCCATGCTCCCTCCCAAGAACTCCATAAGTAACCCTTTCACCCCAGACTCTCATTCACCACCCAGCTACTCTTACCCTCCCCGTTATTTTATGCAGAATTCACATTTTCTGACTTCCACAAAGCGAAGAGGCTAATTCCTAACATGTCATAAATGTCTCGGCCTAATTTACTCAACACAGTAATGCAATCTGTGCTCTTCAGAGCTAATGCAACGCATTGGCCTAGCATGGGGAGGTGCCCTAGTGCTGCTCACAGCCTACTGCTAACTCACACCAACAGGACTCTCCACTCTGCTAACCTCTGTTCCTACTTGAGATTTCTCTCTTTATACAACCCAGGATCACATTAGCCCTTTTGGCCACGGCATAGCACTGGGAGCTCAAGTTCAGCTGATTATCCACCACGACCCCAAAGTCCTTTTCAGAGTCACTGCTTCCCAGGATAGAGCCCCTCATTGTGTATGTATGGCCTACATTTGTTCCTTGATGTATAACTTTATATTCAGCCATAATAAAATACATACTAAAATGCAGTCTGGATTGCTCTATATCAATGACCTCTCCTCTTCATTATATACCACTGCCCCAATTTTTGTGTCATCTACAAACTTTATCAGTGATGATTTTATGTTTTCTTCCAGATCATTGATAAAAATGTTAAATGTTATTTTAAAATGTTAAATAATGTAGGGCCAAGAACTGGTGCCTGCGGAATCCCACTAGAAACTGACCCACTCAATGATGATTCCTCATTTACAATTACATTTGAGACCTGTCAGATAGCCAGGTTTTAATCCATTTAATGGCACATTTTGTTATCAGTCTAGTTTTTTAATCAAAATGTCACCAGGCACCAATCAAATGCCTTACAGAAGTAGAAATATATTACATTGCCTCTGTTATCTTTATCAAGCAAACTAGTAGACTCATAAAAAAAAGAGCTCAAATCAATTTGATAGGACCTATTTTCCATAAGCCCTTGATGATTGGCATTAATTATATTAGTGTCCTTTAAATCTTTATTAATTGTGTCTCATAGGAACTGCGGCAATATTTTGCCTGTGCTTGATGCCAGGATGACATGGAAGAGAGCTAATAGGATACTGGTTTGTGCCTAAACATCATGGTAATCAGACTATGTGTGATACACCAGAGTGTATTTTGCTCTCACTGGTCTGGTTAGATCCCATCAGGATTGGCCACCTTGTTTGCAGAAAGATATATCATCTGCAGGGATGGCAGTGGAACGTAAGGCCTGAGATATGAACGGTAGAGAAACGAGGGCAGGGACATGGTGAGAGGAGTGAAGTATTTCAGCCAATTTGGGGTAACTGAGATGGAAGCTTTATGATCCCGTAAGGTTTTCAAACTCCCCTGATGCCAGATCCCAATCCCACAGGCAATTGGGGGTCACAGCAAGAAACCATGAAGGGGGCATTAGAAAAGAGTGGGTTCTCCGGAACATGATCTGACATCTTGCACTTCCCTGCAGGTGTGGCTGACACATAGGCTTTCAGAGCTCCAGAAGGACCCCAGGATGGGAGGCTTGTGGGACCCATGTGCTACAAATAGGTGCCCCTAAACAGGCTCTTTGCCCCTCCTTTCTTTCTTTCTTTCTTTCTTTCTTTCTTTCTTTCTTTCTTTCGAAGTCTGAAGATGAGCTGTGACAATCAGGATCTGACAACCCCAGAAAAGAAGGTTTAAACCCCACCCCCCAAAATAAGCAGTTAAACCAACTGATTGCATCCAATGTTATTTTACTGTAAGAGTATATTGGGTAAAGTCTTTTATGAAAGGTTGCAATGCATTGAACTTACTAGTAATTACGAGCTATGAATACAGCTTATGGTTATGACTGGACGTACTGTATCTATAGAACATTGTAATTGTAACTTTCAGCATCGCCTCACAATAGGGTGAGGAAGCCATCAGGCACAAAGGAGCCACCCCCACAACCAGACCAGACCAAGCCATTCTCCAGTTCAGGAAAAAACCACGTGGAACCATCAAAGGAAATGGGAACAGCATGAAACAGAAAAGAAAATCCCAGTCTTTGGAACCCAAGAAAAGAGGGAGTTTTCCCCTAGTAACTGAAGAAAAATCCTACAAACTCTTTTAAAATGGAAGGAGTTTGTACTAAAGTTCATCCAGAACTTGGGAGATGGTCTCAAGGTGGAAGGCTGCCCATGAGTGCTGGATCCCTCCTATAGCTAGGGGCTATGCTGGGAAACTGTTTGAAGGCGAGAAGTAACTCTGATTAGAAAAGGGATTTTATCCAGTATGAAAGTGTAAAGCCTTAGGTTGTCTTTATGTGTCTTTTCTGTCTGTTCGCTTTCCACTTACCAGTTCATCTCTCAATCTGGCGCTTTTCTTTGAAATAAACTTTTTATTGATTTCTCTCCCAAGCTGGTCTCTAGTGTGCAACCTGAGGGGTGTGTTGTGCCCAAGGGACCCAATAACTGGGACAGCTGCTTTCCCACCTTTGGACTGGAAGGACTATTGGTGTCACCATTCAAAGAGTAACTTGACTGGTAAGAGCCAGGGTGAGCTGGCTACCGGTGTCAGGGAACCGAACCAGAGCTGCGCAGCACAAAGGCCCCCAAAGCTACAGGGCAGGCAGTGACAGAACCCCTCTGTGGTCTGGGTGAACCCAAAACTTCACACCAGCTCAATATTATACCTGCAGTGACACAAGTGTGTGCCAACAATGGAAACAGCTTCCTTGTAGAATGAAGAGAACAAGCCAGAGTAATCCAGACTGCTGCTTTCCCATCCTACAGATGTGGAGAGCACGCGCCAGGGGCTGAATGCAACACCACTAAATAGCCACCGAGTCAGAGAAAAGAGTCCCCTGACCCATCCTCCCTCGCTCACGGGGGCCGTTCTTTAAGGGGATCCTGCTGCACTGGCTGTGTCTCTTGTTTATGGCCTTTTCTGCCACCGTTCTCCAAATCGTGGTGCAGGTCGGAGAACGCGGGGCAGTGACAGAGGTGAGCTCTTTATTAGCAGTGAACCAGGCTGACGCAGACAAGTCTGCACTAGCTCCACCAGCAGTGAAATTTTCAATATGCCCACTGAGGTGTCTTCAAGCCTAACGGCTTGGGGTTGAGCCTGCTGCACTAGCTTGGCTGTGCTCTGGTGCTCGGCCTTTAGGACTACTGGAATGTATCACTTCAAGCCCTCGCTCCCTCAGTATTGTAGAGCGTCTGCTGGCCTGTTTGAGCTCGTGTGAGCACACCTCTGCAGTCCTCATTCCAGTGCTGGGTTGGGGTTATTGTTCAGGAGGTACCGTATCAAAGAAAGAGAGAGAGAAAGAGAGAGATTGCTTCTTCTCACCTTTAGAGAGAGAGTTTCTTCTCATCTCTAGACCCTTGTCTATTACAACCTGACCTGATCTTTAGAGAGTTCTGCTCTGCCCCTTTTTCCACTGATGTAATTGTTTGGATTTTTTAAAAAAAATCAAGATACAAAATAGAAACCATAGACTTATTCACTCTGGGTCTCACTATCAGAGAATGGCAGGTGCTGCAGATACCCGACTTACCTGCAAAAAAACATCGGATTTTAGCTGTTTTGTTGGTGAGAACACAGATGTCTTTCTCCATATTTCTGAATGGCAGTAATTCCAATCCCTCATCAGTAAATTGCTGGTTAACAGCCATCAAGCCCAGCTGGTTGGTATTATTCCTTAGACTCTTAGCCAAAGGTACTTCACTGCCGTACACCATGCTGCCATCAAGGAAGGATGTGAGTGCATTGATCTGGTTTCGAATGGCTCTGCCCATGGTGCATGCAGGGGCTGAGCGGGTGAATGGAATGCAGTCACTTTGGTTTTTAATTCGTGGATCGTTGGGTGGAATCTACAGCAAGAGATGAACGGGATTAATTACCACTGAGTGCAGAAGCCATTCTCCGTCCCGGAGCAGCATTTCCTGCCCTGCCCCATACTGAAACAGCCTCAGTTTCTTGTTAGATTTAAGTTATGGCTACACATAGAGTGCTTTGTTAATCCAGTCTCAAGGTGACAAAGGCCTGGGTCACTGCAACAAGCAGAGAAATGGTCACAATCTTATGGGCAGGTGCAGAGAGGAAAACATCTTGCTCATCACTGCTCTTGTGTGACCATCCAACAGCCAAACAGGGAGCATAATGAAGGCCTCCATCAAGGATCATTCCCACTCTTCATCAAGAGCCTGGGTCTGGGAGTGCTGAGGGCACTCACTGCCCATAGGAGGGCCTCGTTCACTGCAGTCTGGGATGCAGGGGTAATGAAATGGGGGTTTCCTTATTCTATGACTGTACTTAGCCTGCCCTGATTGAAGGATCTCCATAACTTGAACCTGCCTCACTAAATACGGGGGAATGATGCCAAATCCAAGTAAAAGAGAGAGGGGGCAGGGACAGTGTTCCTACCTGGTGGTGAGGACTCTGTTTAAGGATCTTAGATGCCACTGGATCCTCACTTTCCGGTATGTAAAGAGAGAGCTGAGGAGAGAGTCTGTGTCTCATCCCAGTGATCACTAGAGCTGAAATCGTTGACCGGCTGGCCTGTGGGGCTGCGCTGAGAGCCAGTGTGGGGCAGGGTTGTGGGGAAAGACAATGCAGAGGAGGCAGCAGCAGTGAAGTTCCCCATTACCTGGTGAAATCACGAAGAGCTGGGCTGCCTGGTGGAAGCTGCGAAGGCGGCAGTGCGGCTGCAGGCTATGGGGCGGAGGGGTGCAATGTAAAAGGGGCCCCTGCCAGCAGGCTGAGGGCTGTGATTACTCCTAGCTGGGCTAGGCGGGGCTCGTGGGGTGAGAGATGCAACAGCAGCAGAGCAGCGACAGAGGTGCAGGGGTGAAAGATGGCAGCAGCAGCAAAGCAAGACATGCACTCCAAGGGCTGTCGATGAACCCTCCTGCTGCACCCCTGGATTCTGGCCCTTTGCTGCCCTCAGCCAACAGCCCTGCATGGGGTGCAGCAGAGTGGAAGAGGGAGTGGCATGCTGTCACGGGACACTTGTTCATGGGACTTTCACACCACAAAGTGGGAAACTGAGGCAAAGGACAATGCCCAAGACACTGCGGAGCATGTGTTTTATTTATTGTTTGCAGACTATCAAATCATTGTTCCTATTTTCCCCTAATTAATGCTGTTTTTCCTCTCATCTTAATAGAAGATTTATTTGTGCTGTACACAGATTCAGTGCTTGTGACTGGGGAAGTATTGCCTCTTAGGGGTGCCCAGGGGAGATACATAGTTTTTCAGGGTTTCTGACTGGGGGCTTAAGATGGTTTTGTTTTGTAATTCTAAGAGGAACCCCAGGAAATTATACCCGGCCCTTATTGCTGTTAACAATACCTGGCAGAAGGGTTACATCAAGATCTCTCCCTCCCCCGACACACTTCCCCTGGTCAGCGGAGGCTTCTGAGTTGAAGAGTGATCAGTATAACAGAGAGAGGTGTCTGAGTGTTCTCCCTTAGGGCACTGTGTGAGGAGGTGTTTTACTTCTCTTTCCATTATGGTGTCGCAGGGACACATGATTTGATTGGGAGTAATTGACAGGTCTTTTTAAGAACATCAGAGCAGCCAGACTGGGTCAGACCAATGGTCCATCTAGCCCAGTATCCTGTCTTCCGGCAGTAGCCAGTGCCAGGTGCCCCAGAGGGAATGAACAGAACAGGGCAACTATTGAGTGATCATCCTCTGTTATCCAGTCCCAGATTCTGGGAGCCAAAGCTTCAGGAACACCCAGAGCATGGGGTTGCATCCCTGGCCATCTTGGCTAATTGCCATTCATGGACTTGTGCTCCATGAGCTTCTCTAATTCTTTGTTGAACCAATTTATGCCTTCACAACATCTGGCAACAAGTTCCACAGGTTGACTGTGCGTTGTATGAAGAAATACTCCTTTTGGTTGTTTTAAACTTGCTGGCTATTAATTTCATTGGGTGACCCCTGATTCTTGTTTTATGTGAAGGAATAAATAACACTTCCTTATTCACTGTCTCCACACCTTTCATGATTTTACAGAGTTCTATCATATCTCCCATTAGTCATCTCTTTTCCAAGCTGAAAAGTACCAGTCTTATTAATCTCTCCTCAATGGAAGCTGTTCCATACTCCTCATAGTTTTTGTTGCCCTTCTCTGTACCTTTTCCAATTCTAATATATCTTTTTTGAGATGGGGTGACCAGAATTGCACACAGTAATCAAGATGTGTGTATGCCATGGCATTATGATATTTAGTGTCTTATCTATTCCTTTCCTAATGGTCCCTAACATTCTGTTTGCTTTTTTGGCTACCGCTGCACATTGAATGGATGTTTTCAGAGAACTATCCACAATAACTCCAAGATCTCTTTTTTGACTGGTAACAGACCATTTAGATCTAATCACTTTGTATGGAATTATGTTTTCCAAGGTGCGTTACTTTGCATTTATCTACATTTTGCATTTCATCTGCCATTTTGTTGCCCAATCACCCAATTTAGTGAGTCTCTTTGTAACTCCTCACAGTCTGCTTTGGACTTAATGATCTTGAGTAATCTTGTATCGTCTTCAACTTCCCACCTAGAATCATAGAATCATAGAATACCAGGGTTGGAAGGGACCTCAGGAGGTCATCTAGTCCAAACCCCTGCTCAAAGCTGGACCAATCCCCAACTAAATCATCCCAGCCAGGGCTTTGTCAAGCCTGACCTTAAAAATATCTTAGGAAGGAGATTCCACCCCCCCCCCCCCAGGTAACGCATTCCAGTGTTTCACCACCCTCCTAGTAAAAAAGTTTTTCCTAATATCCAAACTAAACCTCTCCCACTGCAACTTGAGACCATTACTCCTCGTTCTGTCATCAGCTACCACTGAGAACAGTCTAGATCCATCCTCTTTGGAACCCCCTTTCAGGTAGTTGAAAGCAGCTATAAATCCCCCCTCATTCTTCTCTTCTGCAGACTAAACAATCCCAGTTCCCTCATAAGCCTCTCCTCATGTGTTCCAGTCCCCTAATCATTTTTCAGAGTAACAGCCGTGTTAGTCTGTATTCGCAAAAAGAAAAGGAGGACTTGTGGCACCTTAGAGACTAACCAATTTATTTGAGCCTAAGCTTTTGTGAGCTACAGCTCACTTCATCGGATGCATCCGATGAAGTGAGCTGTAGCTCACAAAAGCTTATGCTCAAATAAATTGGTTAGTCTCTAAGGTGCCACAAGTACTCCTTTTCTTTTTGCTAATCATTTTTGTTGCCCTCCGCTGGACTCTTTCCAATTTTTCCACATCCTTCTTGTAGTGTGGGGCCCAAAACTGGACACAGTACTCTAGATGAGGCCTCACCAATGTCGAATAGAGGGGAACAATCACGTCTCTCGATCTGCTGGCAATGCCCCTACATATACATCCCAAAATGCCATTGGCCTTCTTGGCAACAAGGGCACACTGTTGACTCATATCCAGCTTCTCGTCCACTGTCACCCCTAGGTCCTTTTCTGAAAAACTGCTGCCAAGCCATTCAGTCCCTAGTCTGTAGCAGTGCATGGGATTCTTCCATCCTAAGTGCAGGACTCTGCACTTGTCCTTGTTGAACCTCATCAGATTTCTTTTGGCCCAATCCTCTCATTTGTCTAGGGCCCTCTGTATCCTATCCCTACCCTCCAGCATATCTACCTCTCCTCCCAGTTTAGTGTCATCTGCAAACTTGCTGAGGGTGCAGTCCACACCATCCTCCAGATCATTTATGAAGATATTGAACAAAACCGGCCCCAGGACCGACCCTTGGGGCACTCCACTTGATACCGGCTGCCAACTAGACATGGAGCCATTGATCCCTACCCGTTGAGCCCGACAATCTAGCCAGCTTTCTATCCACCTTAGAGTCCATTCATCCAGCCCATACTTCTTTAACTTGCTGGCAAGATTACTGTGGGAGACCGTGTCAAAAACTTTGCTAAAGCCAAGGAACACCATATCCGCCGCTCTCCCCTCATCCACAGAGCCAGTTATCTCGTCATAGAAGGCAATTAGATTAGTCAGGCATGACTTGCCCTTGGTGAATCCATGCTGACTGTTCCAGATCACTTTCCTCTCCTCTAAGTGCTTCAGAATTGATTCCTTGAGGACCTGTTCCATGATTTTTCCAGGGACTGAGGTGAGGCTGACTGGCCTGTAGTTCCCAGGATCCTCCTTCTTCTCTTTTTTAAAGATGGGCAATAGATTAGCCTTTTTCCACCTCTCTGTTTATCCCTTTTTCCAGATAATTTATGAATGTGTTGAACAGCACTGGTCCCAGTACAGACCCCTTTGGGACACCACTATTTCTCTCTCTCCGTTCTGAAAACTGACCATTTATTCCTACGCTTTGTTTCCCGTCTTTTAACCAAAAAGAAAAGGAGTACTTGTGGCACCTTAGAGACATTGGTTAGTCTCTAAGGTGCCACAAGTACTCCTTTTCTTTTTGCGAATACAGACTAACACGGCTGCTACTCTGAAACCTGTCTTTTAACCAGTTACTGATCCATAAGAGGACCTTCCCTCTTATTCCTAGACTGCTTATTTTGCTTAAGAGCCTTTGGTGATGGACCTTGTCAAAGGCTTTCTGAAAGTCCAAGTACACTATATCCACTGGATTACCCTTTTCCACATGTTTGTTGTCCCCCATCAAAGAATTCTAGTAGATTGGTGAGGCATGATTTCCCTTTACAAAAGCTGGGTTGACTCTTCCCCAACAAACTGTGTTCATCTATGTGTCTGATCATTCTGTTCTTTACTATAGTTTCAACCAACTTGCCTGATACTGAAGTTAGGCTTACTGGCCTGTAATTGCCATTGTAATTGCCTCTGGAGCCTTTTTAAAAAATTGGTGTCATATTACTATCCTCCAGTCATCTGGTACTGAGGCTGATTCAATAGATTACATACCACAGTTAATAGTTCTGCAATTTCACATTTGAGTTCCTTCAGAACTCTTGGGTGAATGCCATCTGTTCCTGGTGACTTATTACTATGTAATATTTTTTGATTTGTTCCAAAAACTCCTCTACTGACTCCTCAACCTGGAACAATTCCTCAGATTTGTCACCCAAAATGAATGGCTCAGGTATGGGAATCTCCCTGACATCCTCTGCAAAGAAGACTAATGCAAAGAATTCATTTAGCTTCTCCGCAGTGACCTTATCTTCCTTGAATGCTCCTTTAGAACCTCAATCGTTCAGTGGCCCCTCTGATTGTTTAGCAGCTTCCTACTTCTGATGGACTTAAAAATATTGCTATTAGTTTGTGAGTCTTTTGCTAATTGCTCTTCAAATTCTTTTTTGCCCTGCCTAATTATACTTGGACACTTGACTTGCCAGAGTTTATGCTCCTTTCTGTTTTCCTCAGTAGGATTTGACTTTCAATTTTTAAAGGATGCCTTTTGCCTCTAACCGCTTCTTTTACTTTGTTGTTTAGCCACGGTGGCACTTTGTTGGTCCTCTTACTGTGTTTTTTAATTTGGGGTATACGTTTAATTTGAGCCTCTATTAGGGTGTTTATTTATCAGGTTATTTTTAAAGATTTTCAAGGGTTCCCAGAGTATCAGACCAGCACTCGTTATTGTAGTTGGTAAAACATCCAAACAAATAAATAAATAAATAAATATAATGTATGAGTTAGCACAAGCCTACAAGGGGATTATGACATTCCAGACCAAAAATTAAGACAAAATTAATATTGTAAAGTGAATCACTCAAAAGTTGGGAAATTCCAAATTTAAGGGAGACTATGCCCATTTGAATTTATATGACACAGTCTTTGCCTATGTGATCATAAACTATTATTAGCCTAATGCCAGGTCGTACATCTAGGAACAAAGAGTATAGGGCATACTTACAAGGTGAGACTGAGCTCTGGAAATAAAATGACAGTGGAAAAGAATTAGGGCTCCTGGTGGAGACCAGCTGTCCATGAGCTCCCAGTGCAATGTTCTGTCTGAGAGGGCTAATGCGACATATCTGAGCAGGACAATATCAATTAGAGAGGTGTTACCACCGGGTACAGCATTATTGAGACCATTACTGAATACTGTGTGCAGTTTTGGTGTTCATACATTAAAAAAGGAAATTGTCAGATTGGAGAGGATTCAGAGAAGAATTATTTGACCTCTGGGAGCTGCCTCGCAAGAAGAGTTTAAAGGAGAGAAGAGAAGGTTAAGAGGTGACTTGATTACAGTTTATAAGAACTCATATGAGGAGAAGATGTCTGAGAGCAGGGGCACTTTAATCTAGCAGACAAAGCACAATGAGATCTAGTGACTGGAAGCAGAAGTTCTCTGGCCTGTGTTATACAGGAGGGCAGGCTAGATGATTATAATGTTCCCTTCTGGCCTTAAAATCTAAGAAACAACACTCCCACTCTCCTCTTAGTCATACCAACATGCCCTTTGGGAGGGAGACTCACTTGCAGGTATCTGCCCATGGAAAAGGGCAGGGAGAAACTCTGATAAACCCAGTCCCTAGGAGAAATTGATCAAGGGTAATGATCTGGATGATGGGATGGATTGCACCCTCAGCAAGTTCGTGGATGACACGAAGCTGGGGGGAGAGGTAGATACAATGGAAGGTCGGGATAGGGTCCAGGGTGACCTAGACAAATTGGAGGATTGGGCCAAATGAAATCTGATGAGGTTCAACAAGGACAAGTGCAGAGTCCTGCACTTAAGACGGAAGAATCCCATGCACCGCGCTACAGACTAGGGACCGAATGGCTCGGCAGCAGTTCTGCAGAAAAGGACCTAGGGGTGACAGTGGACGAGAAGCTGGATACGAGTCAACAGTGTGCCCTTGCTGCAAGAAGGCTAACGGCATATTGGGCTGCATTAGTAGGAGCATTGCCAGCAGATCGAGGGACGTGATTATTCCCTTCTATTCGGCACTGGTGAGGCCACATCTGGAGTACTGCATCCAGTTTTGGGCCCCCCCACTACAGAAAGGATGTGGACAAATTGGAGAGAGTCCAGCGGAGGGCAATGAAAATGATCAGGGGGCTGGGGCACATGACGTATGAGGAGAGGCTGAGGGAACTGGGATTGTTTAGTCTGCAGAAGAGAAGAATGAGGCGGGATTTGATAGTTGCTTTCAACTACCTGAAGGGGGTTCCAAAGAGGATGGAGCTTGGCTGTTCTCAGTGGTGGCCGATGACAGAACAAGGAGCAATGGTCTCAAGTTGCAGTGGGGGACGTCTAGGTTGGATATTAGGAAAAACTATTTCACTAGGAGGGTGGTGAAGCACTGGAATGGGTTACCTAGGGAGATGGTGGGATCTCCATTCTTAGAGGTTTTTAAGGCCTGGCTTGACAAAACCCTGACTGGGATGATTTAGCTGGGGTTGGTACTGCTTTGAGCAGGGGGTTGGACTAAGTGACCTCCTGAGGTCTTTTCCAACCTTAATCATCTATGATTCTATTATTCTAAGGCGAGGTGCCCCCTCACTCTTCTGTTCCCTCCAGGAGAAATCCTGGCAGTACCTTGATGGGGAAGCAAGGTGGTTTTTTGGCACAGCTGGTCTGACAGTCCGTTCTGCTGCTGAAAGTGACTGTTGCTGGAGTCGCAGGGCCAAAGTCCATGTCATGGTCAATAAACTGGCCCCACTGCATGAAGATGAGTGCTCTGTTCTGATCCGATACGAGCTGCTCAGTGGGAAAGCGTACAATCTTGTTTGAAACTTCTCGCACCTGGAGGGATTAAAGCAGAGAGTGTGTGTGTATAATAAGATGGGCTAGGAACATGTGTTCTGTAGACAAGATTGGGGAGTGGGAGGTCAATTTCCCATGCCATCAACAGGTGTCTAAGTGAGATGGAAGCTGCTCCAATTTCCTTTTTAAAAACACAAAAGTTTAAACGGTGAATTCTTTGTTTAATTTTCCTGCCGGCACCGTTCTGGACTCCCTTACTAGAGGGCTCTAACTCTTCATTTGCCATCTCTGTTCAAGTCTGTTCAGCTCTGAACACACACTACAATACTCCACACATAATGCTCCTTCATTCATGGAGCTCAAAGAGCCTCACCAGTGCTTAATTTGTAATGAAAGAGGTGCTGGGGCTCAAGCAATTGTTTTACTTTCATAACTGACATGGCAAGCCCAGAGGTGCCAGGGCTGTGAACTGCCAGGCCCAGAGGTGCTGGGGCTGTGAACTGCCAAGCCCAGAGGTGCCGGGGCTGTGAACTGCCAGGCCCAGAGGTGCTGGGGCTGTGAACTGCCAAGCCCAGAGGTGCCGGGGCTCAGCCCTGGCAAGCCCTTGCACAATTATGCACTGAGCCTCACAAAGATGGTCAAGCTTTATCAACCCTTCACAGACTGGGAACTGAAGAAAACAAAGATTGAAGTCACTGTTTTGAAATGGGGGTGTCAGAAATTAGTACCTATTGAAAACCTTTGAGAGTCAGGTGCCTCAATTTCGGCACAGACATTTGAAAACACTGACCTTCACCCCTTTGGTTTCCGTTACCATTTCTGTGAAAGAGAGGCAATGTTAGTTCCTTCCCATGTGGACGAGAGAGTCAGGCCTGCCTACCTACCTACATAAGTCTGTGTAAAGGAGGAAAGTATGAAGGCCAGGCAGCGGAAGAACTACCCTCTTAGTCTTTTAATGGAATTTCTTAGGTTTTGTTTTAAAAGGAATTCCATAATCTGGACCTATCTGGCCAGCTCCCAGGCCTCTGCTGGCCTGCCCTGTGCTGCAAAGCACACATTGAATGAGACAAGACTTCACTGAAGCCCTTGCCTTATTTAATGTGCACTTTAGAAGATGCACATGTTCACTACATATTAAATTAGCTGAGTGCCTTGTCTAGTCCAGGATTTAAGGTGTGATGTTAGCACCTGTTAGATAATATGTTCCAATGAATACATTTTAAAAGCCTAATGTAGACATGGCTCACACAGCCTTTACCACGGGGATGGGGAGGGAAGCCAATGTAACACGTTTTCAGTGATAAACTACCTTATCTACACTAGACTTTTAGAACGTTAGAACATGTAATTTTCAATCCCTAAGAACCTTTCTTTTAGTAACTTTATCTAGGACGTATACGAAATCTTACAAATCATTACCAAGCAAGTACCAAAAATACTCTATTTACAAATACAAAAGTGGACCTACTTTTGCCAAGAGAGACATTATCCATTGGGCAGGGATAGTGTTCCTCCTTTTATACACCATGAATGCATAAAATAATGGATTTTTTTTGGATAATAGTTTATAGTAAATATCTGGGTTAGATACAAACAATATTGCATCTCTGTTTGCTGCCTTCACACATCTCAGACTGGAGAACCTAGGCTCCGTTGGCTTTCACTGCTGCTTTTGTTCTGGGAGAGGGAACAATGATTCATTTAAGGCAATGGAGGCCAGTGCCAATGTTCATATGGGACAAAGTTCTGAATAAAAAATGCCACTCTGTCCTGTAAAACCCTTTTCCTCATCTGGAGATAACAAGAGAAGCACGTCCCCTTTAGCTCTGGCACTATGAATTACTCCAAATACTATACAAATATTACTTGACCTTTGTAAAGTCCTTAATTAATCCAGTTTGATCTGAATGTATATAAATCCCCTTCAGTTCTTCAAATAAAGAACAGTTTGGTGTGAATCTGGGCCTATCAGATCTGCATGAGGGAAGGGCTTCCCTTTTTCCCATGTTAGGGAGACCTAAAATAGCAGCTTCTTTCATAGATTTTGGAAGTTCCTCCCCTAACACAGCAGCATTAAAGGATCAACTGATACCTCCTTAATAGCTTTATAAAATTCTGCTGGAAATTTACAAGGCCTTGGAGTTTTCCACTTTTTAAATTCCCTCTGTTATTTCTTCTCCTAAAATTTCTCTGTCAGTCTCCTGTGTCTTTGGCAGCTACTTCCCACTGCTCGTTACTTCCAGATATTTTTGATAAAAAAATAAAACTTGAAGTATCTGAAGTATAGAGGTTATTCTAATAACAGCAAAAGCAGCACATACTTCGTAGCAGTGTGTAACTATCTTTTGCTGAGCATTTTTAACTGGTGGGATAGTGTATTGCTCTTTAATCCTTTGAGCTTTTAAGCATCGAGTTATCACATTTACTTCCTTTTTCATAGAAAAGCCTCTTTATACAAGTAAGGGCTTATTTAGGGACATCTCCCATAAACTTATTCACTTCCCTCCCTATTATTAGTTAGCTGGTGATATGTTGTTCTGAGCCTGCACTTTTATGAATCTGTCACAGATTTTTGGAACATAGGAAGTGCCAGACTAGGTCAGACCAATAGTCCATCTATCCTGTCTTCTGACAGTGACCAAAGCCAGATGCTACAGAGGGAATGAACAGAACAGGGCAATTATCCAGTGATCCATCCATTGTTGTCCACCCCAGTTTCTGGCAGTCAGAGGTTTAGGGACACCCAGGGCATGGGGTTGCATCCCTGACCATCTTGGCTAATAGCCATTGATGGGCCTGTCCTGCAGGAACTGATCTAATTCTATTCTGAACCCAGTTATACTTTTGGCCTCTATCACATCCCCGGCAACGAATTCCACAGGGAATTCCACTATGCGTTGTGTGAAGAAGTGCTTCCTTTGTTTGTTTTAAACCTGCTGCTTATTAATTCAGTTGGTGATCCCTGGTTCTTCTGTTATGTGAAGGGGAAAATAACACTTCCCTGTTCACTGTCTCTGCACCAGCCATGATTGTATAGATTGTATTGTCATCTCCCCGCTCAGTCGTCTCTTTCCTAATCTGCACAGTCCCAGTCTTGTCAGTCTCTCCTCACACAGAAGCGGTTCCATACCCCTCATCATTTCTGTTGCCCATGTCTCTACCTTTTCCAAATCTAATACATCTTTTTTGAGGTGGGGATTACCAGAACTGCAGGCGGTACTCAAGGTGTATCATGAATTTATATAGTAGCATTATGATATTCTCTATTTTATTATTTATCCATTTCCTAATGGTTCCTAACATAGTGTTAGCTTTTTCGACTGCTACTGCACATTGAGTGGATGTTTTCAGGGAACTATCCACAATGACTCCAAGATCTCTTTCTTGAGTGGTAACAGCTCACTTAGATCCCGTCATTTTAGCTAACGTAAGCAATAGTTTACGTACCCCTGTTAGTAGTTCTGCAATTTCATATTTGAGTTATTTCAGAACTCTTGGGCAAAAACCATCTGGTCCTGGTGACTTATTACTATTCAATTTATCAATTTCTTCCCAAACCTCCTCTAATGACGCTTCCATCTGGGACAGTTCCTCGAGTTTGTCACCTAAAATAATGTTTCAGGGGTGGGAATCTCCCTCACCGTCTCTGCAGTGAACACTGATGCAAAGAATCCTTTAGCACCTCCATCATTCAGTGGCCCCACTGACTCTTTGCCAGGCTTCCCTCTTCTGATGTACCTTTCTATTTTCCTCAGAAGGATCTGACTTCCAATTTTTAAAAGATGTCTTTTTGATTGTAATCTCCTCTTTTACTTTGTTATTTAGCCATGGTGGCATTGTTTTGGTCCTATTATTGTTTATTTTTTGTATTTGGGGTATACATATAGTTTGAGCCTCTGCTGTGGTGTTTCAAAAAGTTTTCATGCAGATTGGAGGCATTTCACTTTAGTGACTGTTCCTTTAAATTTCTGTTTAACTGGCCTCCTCATTTTTGGGTAGTTCCTCTTTTGAAGTTAAATGCTTCTGTGATGGGTTTCTTTGGTATTTTCCCCCTACAAAGAAGTTAAATTTTATTATATTATAGATGCTATTACTAGGACCCTACCAAATTCACGGTCCGTTTTGGTCAATTTCACTGTCATAGGATTTTAAAAATCGTAAAATTCATGATTTCAGCTATTTAAATCTGAAATTTCACAGTGTTGTAATTGTAGGGTTCCGAGCCCAAAACCAGGGGGGGGTCCACAGGATTACTGTGGGGGGGTTGTGGTATTGCTCCCCTGACTTCTGTGCAGCTGCTGGCGGCGGCGCTGCCTTCAGAGCTGGGCGGCCGGAGAGCGGCGGCGGCTGCTGGCCGGGAGCCCAGCTCTGAAGGCCGAGCCGCCGCCAGCAGCAGCAGCGCAGACGTAAGGAGGGCCTGGTCTGGGATCGCCACCCTTCCTTCTGCGCTGCTGCTGGCGGGGCGCTGCCTTCAGAACTTGACGCCTGGCCAACAGCCGCCGCTCCTGGCCGCTCAGCTCTGAAGGCAGCGCAGAAGGGTTGCAATACTGCGACCCCCCCCCCCAAAATAACCTTGTGACCCCCTGCAATGCCCTTTTGGGTCAGGACCCCCAATGCTGGTCTCCCCCATGAAATCTGTATAATATAGAGCAGTGGTTCTCAAACTTTAGCAACCCGAGGACCCCCATTTTGATTTAAAATAGTTGGGGACCCCCAAGCCTTCCCACTCAGCCCCAGGACTCTCCCTCACTCCACCCCTTCCCCCAAGATCCTGCCTCTTCCTGCCGCCCGCTCACTCCATCCCCCCTCCCTCCATCACTCACTTTCACCAGGCTGGGGCAGGGAGTTGGGGTGCAGGCTCTGGGAGGGAGTTTGGGTGCAGGAGGGGGGTGAGGGGTGCAGGCTCTGGGAGAGAGTTTGGGTGTGGGAGGGGGCTCAGGGCTGGGGCAGGCGGTTGGGGTACAGGAGGGGCGAAGGGTTCAGGCTCTGGGAGGGAGTTTGGGTACAGGAGGGGCGAAGGGTTCAGGCTCTGGGAGAGA